GTAAAAAAAAGTTGAACATCTAGCATGTCCTGGTTTCGATCCAGGGACCTATTATCTGTTAGGATTCCGATGTTGATTGGCTGGAACAAGGCATTCTCACCTCCGGGTTATGAGCCCGGCTGTGTGAACGTTAGCTTCTGATCTAATTTAGAGATATCACGTGATTTTTCATACCGCTCTTCCCCTGAGCTAACATGCTCTATTTAAGTTATAACCGAGGCCTGTCTCGGTTGAGATGGTCTTTCAGAGAAAATATGTCTTTGTAAATGTTTGAGGTTCAGGTTAAGACTTCGGGCTTCGGACTTTCAAGATTTCGAACACTTGTGTTCTTGACGAACTTCATGGTTATCTGTATTAGAACTCTTGGCTGTGCATTGGTTTTGCACACCAAACAAAATGATCTCAGGAGTGGAACAGAAAAGTGGATTACAAGAGGCTAAACTTTGGTGGGCACTGCCTGGGGTGTATAGCAGTTGCTTAAGTGGTGGGCCTGGGGACTGAGTGAATCCCCTCAACCCCACGCACAGTCTGGAATGACAACATACACCCTCTTCTGTCACACTGGGTTCTAGGACCTTATCGCACCGAATTCGCAAGCTAATCGTGAATGGCCGCTGGTATGTTTGGCAGGTTGGTCTCACTGAGTGCGCCAATGATGTTTTCTATCTGTACCCTTTGTACCGCTACTTATAGCCCATTGTTGGGCTGGTTACATACAAAACCAGCGGAGGCGGCGCCTTAGTACAACTCAGCAGAATCCAACACACCTGACACGTTGAGGTTCATGCGATATTTCTGTGGACCTTGGTCGTGATTGCTGATCTAACAACTTTTAGGAGCCTCTTTCTATGCAAAGACGGAGATCAGCTTCCTGGATCTTTGGCGCACTATATAGTGCAAAGCAGGGAGGTGAGATAGTGTCATGACGGGCTCAGATATAGCTAGCTATATAAGGTGCGATCCAGACGATATCAGACCTAGGGTCCGAGTACCTAATTGTGACCTTTCGGCCTAGTTGGGAATGGACTGTTCTTACAAATAGATTGTATATGCTGTAAAATTAGTTAAGCAAACTTTCTAAGAGTTGTTGCATGTTCTGTCTGAGAAAGCGTGACGTGTGAGATAACGTTGAGCATAACGTTATGCTATTCTTGGCATAACGAGAGCCTTCAATATTCAGGAAACTATATATACGGTGGTAATAATGTGGCCGAGTAAACAATCACACTTCAGACTTTCATATTGAAATAAATAGTTAGAGCTTCTATAACACTGCCCATACCACCTACTTTCCCGAAATGAGCCTGTCAGATAAGATAGCTATTGTGACCGGGGCCTCTCGCGGGATTGGCGCTGGAATTGCTTTGGAGCTTGCCAAACAGGGAGCGAAGGTCTACATTTCCACAGGCACTAAATCCTTAGATCTGACTATTGATACAAATCTTGCAGGTCATGCTTACCTACGTGTCGGCCAGCAGTGAGGATGCCGTCGATGGAGTTATACATCGGATACGTGGTTTAAACAACGGCTCCGATGCTGCCAAAGTGCGAATCGACCTTCACCAGGTGGAAGCCCCCGAAACAATCCTGTCAGCTACCTTCCGCGCGTTCCCCTCAAGCGATGGCAAGGTGGATATTCTTGTCAATAACGCGGCACATTCGCACTGCAAGCTTCTTACAGACACCGAAATCGAGGACTACGCCTCTATGTTCGATGTGAACGTCCGCAGCACCATTTTCATGACCAAGGCTGTGTTGCCGTATCTCCGTGCCCCGGGGCGCATTATCAACATAACATCTATTGTAGCTCGCCGGGGATCAGTAGGGTTTTCCATCTACTCGGCTACGAAAGCAGCTGTGGAAGGGTTCACCAGAGCCCTGGCATGCGAACTGGGTCCCTATGGCCACACCGTCAATGCCGTGGCCCCTGGACCCGTGGAGCCAGGCATGTTTCGGGGATCAGTGCCGGATGATTTGGTGAAGTATGTTCTGGACAGCACACCTCTGGGGAACCGGGTCGGGACACCGGAGGAGATTGCTGCCGTCGTGACTTTCTTGGCTGATCCAAAGGCGTGTTGGTTGACGGGTCAGACTATATGTCCAAGCGGCGGACTGAATATGGTCTGAATACATGTTTTTATATACAGCAGTGCTACTCTGCTTGAAGTGTTGTATTAGTTTAGGAAAGCTCAAGGCATTTCTCGCCTCTCTCTTTTCTTCCGCGGTTACTTCTCTCCACAGTGGCGGTCTCAAAGGCCCACCACCACCTTTCAAACATCAGCTGTCCTATTTCCCAACCCGCCATCTCAAATGGGTCGCTGCTGTGAACTCTGATTCCCTCTCCCCCGTCGTCTTCCATATCATACACCAACCGAACGAGCCCCATTGGATCCTGAGCCGACTTCGGACGTAAATTGACAGGGAGGTTAAACACCTGGATCAACTTATCCCGGGCAGTCGGCCAGGGGAGGAGATCTAGAATCGGGTGATGCGAGATAAGAACTTGGGTTCTAGTTGGCCGTATATGGTCAGGTAACGTCTCCAGATCGATGGTAGTAGTATAATCTCCATCGCTGGTTTGGCTTGAGCCTGATGTCTGTGTAGTAGAAGAGGTCGATGAAGGGGGTAGCGAGGATGACAGCGAAGAAGTAGAAGATTGGGTGTATAGCCTTGGTCTGTAAAACGGACTAACCGCAGCAATATCCCAGAGGCAATCTCCGACGCCGAGCCTTTGAGCTACCCTAACTGCTGCACTCAGAAGGGTAAGGGAGGGAACTTGGAGCAAGTGATCATCGGGAAACGTGAAATTAGAGGACTGGTAGTCTTGTAGATCATCTGAGATATTGTCCGTGCTCTCTGGGTTACTGAGCAGACTATTAAACTGCACATAATCGCCGTCGCTATGGCCTTGAGCTGACGTTTCTGGCTCTAGGAATAGTGGTAATGGAGAGGCCTCCAAAGGAGCGTCAGTTGTGGAGATAAGTGAACCTAGCGATGCTTGCCCCGAGGTTCTTGGAGAGAGAGCAGTGAGAAATGGTGAAGCAAGGGTTGATAGTTCTGAGGGGAGTAGATGTGGTACGGCTGGTAAGAAAGACCCTGTGAAGACCTCCGGCACTAGAGTCATATCATTGAATTCGGAAGCCGTACCAGCAGAAGAGGAGTCAGCGCCCGTTGAGGTTGTCATTTCCTGGCCTCCATAGTCTGAGTTTACAGTATTACTCTCACCCAAGGCAACTGGGGTTGAGAAGGGATATGAAACATCTGTCGGGAGGCCGGGGCCACCTCTATCTTTCTCGGGTCCCAGGGCTGTTAATTCTTCATTGTGCGAACTCACGCTGTTTAGTTGCGCTTCCAGGGCTTCTATTCGACGTTTCTTTCTTTGTCCTGCCATAGTTCAGATTGAGATACCAATTCTCGTTGGGATATAGAACCTACGGTATCGTCTTTGGGCAAGTACATTCAGGACTCGTTTCCGTTCTGTCGCATCTTCCGTGATGTCCGGGGCAACCAGATCTCTTTCTTTGCGTTTTCCAGTCATTTCGACTCAGGAATATGCATAATTGTTTTGGTAGAGGTTCTGGCAGGGCATGCGAGGTGGGTGACAACACGAGGATGACTCATCCAAGGAAAGTTAACGTAACTAAGGGATGTTGCACTCGGCATCACTTCTTCAGCTTCAACTTTATGATACAGAAAACACCCAGATGCTGGATACCAATATCCACACGACCATCTTAACGGATCTATTCGGTGGACCTATAAAACTGCTAGCCGTCCTAAATCACAGTAGTTCGAACAAAATCCTTCCATACAGGCACACTTCCGTGGATCAAGGTCCTTCGTGCTGGCTGGTTCCAGTACAGGAGAGTTCTAGACCTTTATCCTCTCAAACTAATGAAGCCACTTGTAGACATGGGTGGTTAGCAGCGAGGCGTTCCGGCGTGCACTTACAAGCCAATCGAAGGCAAGGACCTGCCACGATTTGTACATTTCTGACGGTATAAGAGCTCCAGCGTAATATTTCAGATTCATGGCCATGAGCCCTACAATCATAGCTCTAGAATAGTGCTAAAGCATATACTTAGGGCCGCCAAAGAGATGCACCACACTTCTGATTGAAGGAATATCCTTCCCAATGGGAAAGCCGGAGAATTTGAGCCGAATGATTGGCATGAGCTTCGTAGTGTTTAATCAGCCATGATACGTACACAATCCTAATGGGCAGTCTGGGGGACTCAATGGCTGAAGTAAACTTTCCTCGCGTGCGCCACGGTCTTCGGACAAGACAGATAGATATACTCTCAGATCCCAGTGTCATGGCAGAAATACTCCAGTTATCTTGTATGTAATACCACGGGCATTTACGCATTACCTGTTAAGCGCTTTTATTGCATGATATCTCAACAGATATGGTGATTACTGACGAAGCAGTAGCCGAAACTGCCACTACCGGCGCGACACCATCGCCTGGCGATGGGATCGCGGCTGCACCGAGCGCACCGAGTCAGGTTCTACGCCTTTTGAGGGAGATCAACTCCTACAGTGAAGCATGCATCAATGGCCAGAAAGAGGCAAGATTTAAACTTGTCAATGCAGCGGAGTCCTTCGTCCACGCTCTGGAAACACCTAGTGAGACCATGATGCGGCACTGTGTGGCTCAGGTGCGACCTCTTGCAATTATTCCTTTTTCTATTTTTTCCTTGTGGTAAAGCAATACCGATGGGCTTACTTGCTCTCAAGTGCACCGCGTATGCATCGGTTGAGGCCTGTATCCTTCTAGGGGTATTTTCGCTATTAGCCTCTAGCGATGATCCAAAACCTGCTAGGGATCTTGCAGAAGCTACTGGGGCAGATGAACAATTGCTGGGTTAGTTACTCCCTTTGTATAGTTATGGTTAATGCACAGGAAACCAACATAATGTAGGACGTCTGCTGAAGGATTTGGCTGCAATGGGGGTGTTCACGGAGGCTGGTCCGGATGAGTACTATCGCAACGGCCTCTCAACAGCGATGTGTATGAAGCAATATAGCGATGTGTGGCTGTTCATGTACGCTCTTAATGATTTTGTTTCAGCCTGTATCCTAGCTCATTATAACTTCTTTCAGCAGTCCATGCGCTCCCAGCATGGCTGGAGAAGAACGACTATCACAATCCTACTGATGCACGGCATACTGCGTTCAATATGCGATACAACACTGACCTCCACTATGGGAGTGGTTGTTCAATCCAGAACATACTACCCTCGCCAGTCAGTTCAACAACCTCATGTCCACATACCACCAAGGCCGACCTAGCTGTATAGAAGAGGGATTCTACCCAGTGCATGATAACCTAATCCAAGGGGCACGAGACGGCAAGAATGGTGTCTTTCTTGTTGATGTTGGTGGGAACCAAGGATATGATCGGGACGAGTTTCTATCCAAATAGCCCGGTGCCCCGGGCCGACTGGTCTTGCAGGATTTGCCAACGGTCCTGGATGATATTGTAACACTGGACCTATCAATTGAGCGGATGGCGCATAATTTCTTCGCGGTTCAGCCGGTGAAAGGTTAGTGTCAACAGTATATCCAGTCATTGCTCCTACATCAACGTACGTTGATCAATCCCAGGTGCGCGAGCCTATTCTCTTCACAGTGTCCTACATAACTGGAACGATGAGGACTGCCAGACTATTCTCTCCAGACTTGTGGCTTCTATGGCACCTGGATATAGCAAGATTCTGATCAATGAAATTGATATCCCTAAGACCGGAGCGCATTGGGAGGCAACCGCTATGGACATCTTGATAACAGTACATCTTGCCGCAGGGGTGCGGACTGAACAGCAGTGGCACCAGCGTATCGAGTCAGTGGGGCTCAAAGTTGCCAAAATTTGGCACAGGGTGGGCAGCGTTGCGAGCTTGATTGAGTGTGAGTTGGCGTGACAAAGAAGATCAGAGTGGTTGCGTAGGTAATGGGCTGAGGTATTTCTTCTTTTCCGTTATGTTTCCTTCTTTTCTTCTTGTTTCTATCTGCCCTTTCGGTATCACGCGCGGTCTTTCCTTGGGTCTCTATCGGAGTTTCAATAGTGTGAGAAGCTGGGAACTTCTGTCCGGTATCAGACCGTGAGCGTTGCATGTGAATATGACCACATCCAAGAGAAAAAGTCCTGTTTTTTCCAGAAATGACTCATTCAAAAAATAGCCATTTGATCACCGGAGGCCATTAAGCTTGTATTGGGTAATGGAGAACCCAGAGTAAATTCCCGAATCCAATAGTCCGCGTCAGTCGCCCACCCCTTTCTTCTCATGTATGAAGGGATGACCCAGCTGCCGGCATATTGAACTCACCTTAGCCGGGTATAACCGCCTGCCCAGTTAAACGTGTAGTAATAGAGGGTATCTTACTGTAATGGGAATCTGATATAACAAACCATTGGGATGTTTTGTCAGGGTGCATAATACAGGGGGTAGTATTGCTCAGAAGCTTGCAAGAGAGGGCCGGTCGAAGTAATTGGGCAGATGACCTTCAGACGGGCCAAAGAAAAGGAATATAAGAGACTCAACCAAGATCGATCTGAATATGGGCATGCCTCATTAGGATAAATATTGACACAGCAAGGTACGTACAACGGCCCTGCCAGCATGAATTTGTATATGCTCAAAGATGTGGAGATGCATCTATATTTTCGGAAGGAGCCTGCTAAGCTTGATAGAAACAGGTATAGCAGTTCATTCGATACAAGGATCAACAGATGGCGATCAAACGGACATGCATGATCACATTCTTGCTTTAATTTGGTTAATAATTGCAAGAAGGACACTCTACTTGAACAAGTAAAGCATCATTGGTCTAGTGGTAGAATTCATCGTTGCCATCGATGAGGCCCGTGTTCGATTCACGGATGATGCACTTCTTTTTGTCTTTTTGACTACCGACAATCTAATCTCTATCTCTGATTCCTAAATGGTCATATTTCTTTTTCCTCTTTTGTTTTAGCATTCTAAGGTAATCCTTTGCTCGCCACATCTATGATGTGAGGGTCATGTTCAACAACCTTCTATCTGGGGTCCTGAACTAATATATGTACTGCTCCGTACTCACCAGTATTATTCCAAGAGACTGGGACTAAATCCCGACACTGTTCCATGCCGAGCGCGACGGCGAGCAGTGGCGATGAATTACTCTCCTCGGAGATAATATTGCCAGGAGCGCATGACGAGAGTAGTCGTAAGCCTTTCAGGAACCCATGATGCCTTACTCATTCTCAAGCAGCTCGAGGCAAAGATCAACCTAGATCAACCTATACTCCGCAGAGCTGGGGTCCCTTGCTTTGCGAGGAATGTGTCTGTCATCATGAACTTACCAAGACATAGGCAAGAAGAGGTCACTCGGCTCCTTATGTCCCTCGCTCATGGCTCCCAAGGATGTTAAAAGGGTCTGGAATCAGGGCCAGACCGAAAGTTCTAGCTCCATCACCCACTGTTTAGCGTTTAGCTTGTCTCAATGAGCTGAGACACAATGTCATCACAATCATCTGATACTCTCGAGCTCAAAGAAGCCGATGCCAGTGTGTCCCAGATATCCGCAGAGGTTTCATGCAGCAATGGGGGCTGGGATGATGACCCTCAAAACCCAATGAACTGGTCGAACGCCTGGAAAAGGACAATCATTGCACTGGTTGCCTTCGCCACGTTCAACGAGTGAGTATAGCCATCACATCATGATCTACCTTGCCCTATGGCTGACATCTAGACCTTCATCAGCGCCGCAGCATCCAGCATTTTCACCCCAGGGGTACCACTCGTTCTCGAAGAATTCCACACGACAAACCCCGCCATATCGCCGTTTCTCATATCGATCCATGTCATTGGCTTCGCAACGGGACCGCTGCTTTTCTCCCCTCTCAGTGAGATCTACGGAAGATGTATTGTCATGCATATTTCAAACGTAACTTTCTTTTTTTCTTGCATACTCTGCGCCCTCAGTGTCAACGTACCTATGCTAGCTATAGCTCGCATCCTTCTGGGAGTGGCTGGTTCCATACCCAATGCACTGGCAGGAGGTTTTGTGGCAGACCTGATCCCTCTTGAAAGACGGGCGAGCTCGCTCGCCTTGTTGTCTGCCGGGACTCTATCAGTACGTAACCTTTGTCAAGCAATCAGTATATCTACTTATCAGTATCCCGTTCCAGGGCACGGTGGTCGGTAAGCTCACCCTGGAAAACCACATATACACACGTCCATAACCATAGGGTGAACTTCTTACATTAAATCCAGGCCCGATTGCAGGCGGTTATATGGCATTAAACGTGGGATGGAGATGGACATTCTGGCTCGAAGCCATCGTGGTACACACCCAAGCGCGACTCCATACACGAGCAGAACACCCCGACACTGACACACGACACAGGTTGGCTGCAGCACGATAGCATCATCCCTACTCCTCCGAGAGACCTACGCTCCGGCGCTCCTCCGAAGGAAAGCCGCAAAACTAGGCACGCAAAAACCCCTCAAAGAAAGCGAAAGCCACTGGAAAGCCCTGCGGAGAGGCATCTCACGACCGATGAAGCTCTGCCTCTGCTCGCCCATCGTGATGATCATCTCGCTCTACAACTCCATCAGCTACACATACATGTACTACATCATCACCACCTTCCCCACGCTCTTCGGCGAAGAATACGGCTTCAACGCAGGCGAGGTCGGGCTCGCCTACATCGCCCAAGGAGTCGGCTGCCTAGTCGGCCAGTTCGTAGTCGGCCGCTTCGCAGACTGGTACATCCAGCGCCAACGAGCCCGATACGGCACCACGACGCCCGAAGACAGACTACCCCCCGCCATCGTAGGGTACGTCGTTCTCGCCATCGGCATGATGTGGTTTGGGTGGTCGGCGCAGGCCCATGCCCATTTCATGGTCCCCATTGTCGGCTCTGGGGTTGTGGGCTTGGGCATCGTGGCCGGGTTTCTCGTAGTTCAGTTCTATATTGTGGATGCTTTTGAGATCTATGCCGCTAGTGCTTTGGCGGCCAATAACCTTATTCGGGCTATTATTGCGGCCCTCTTGCCCCTGTCTGGTCCGGCGATGTATGATCGCCTGGGGTATGGTTGGGGGAATACTATTCTCGGTCTGGTGGCGTTGGTTATTGCGCCGACTCCGTTGTTGCTGATGAAGTATGGGCGGAAGATTCGGATGCAGTGGCTGCTAGAGCTGTAGATAGTTGTTCTAATATTATTTTTATGTTCGTTTCATACCTTGTTCTCTCTTAGAAGAATCATGGCCGTTGTTGTGTGGGATAGTTAAGAATACTGATGTACATCTCATGAAAGAGGTAGTCGGTAATTAATTCACTTTACTTAAGACGATGATCCTCTCTTCTCTGAAGAGGGAGGAGGAGGGGAGGGGGAGGGGGG